AACTAATGACACTCAGTTGGAAAGGTATCTGGTCCCTGTGCTTTATAGTCAGCTCGATGCAAGTCAGATTCTTCTTTCAAGGAAATAAGTCAGATCGTCCCACATTAGCTTCGGATCGTTTCACGATTTAAATAGTCAGCGAAAAAGACAGATTCGTAGAACGGATTAAACAAAACAGTTAAGTGTTATAAATGGTCAGTCGATTGATTGATCAATGTTGATTTCACAAATACACAATAGCAATCCACTCAGATCTAGAATTCCTGCATATAATTTATTTAATTCGATACCTAAGCGTCTCGCTCGAGATAAGTCGATCATTCACCTTAACTAGTTTGGTCTGTTGTTTTAAATGTTGAAGACAGAGGTTGTCAGACGTCGGAAGGTATACAGTAAATGCTGGTCAGCCTACGTCTTTAGCGGTTTTGGGTTCGCTTTGAAGCACTGAGTCGCAGCACCAAAAATACCAGCGAAGACCGAAGAGGTATGGAACGACTTCATTTGCAGCTTCGACTGATTTGCTGGCCGGTCCATCAACTGCCCCCAAAACCGCAGTTACGGAGTCTGTTGCATGATGCAAGGGGTACTTCCTTAGTTTCTTGCTGTCTTTTATCTGGAGACCTCTCAACTACAAAAAACTGCTGCCTTGGGCAGAGCTGAATAAAGATATGCTCACCGGTATGCGGTCAATGAAGCGGGTGCAAACGTTATGCAGCTCTGCCACAGCCCTGTTGATAATCAAATGATGTTTGCAGAAACCCGGGTGAACTTCGTTTTGAAAACTACTCTCTCGTTGTTGATGTGCTGGTGATCCCCCTTTAAAGGCCGGGACTTTAAAACCGCTTACCGGAATGCAAGATACGGAGTAAACTGATTGGAGGGCTGCATTTGTTGTCATGACAATATTTTCTCATCTTAGGAAAATAAAGCAAAGGAAAAGGACGAAAGAGAAACATCCATCTACCTCAGTACTTCAGTCTAGTCCGATTGATTGTGCTTGGTCATTATTTGCACGTACTGAAAATTTTGGGTTAGGGTTTTGGGTTCCTCATGTACAATCCATGTTAATTTTCTCCATCTTCCACTTTTCTTGGCCGTTTTTGGTGTTTTCTTACCTCTTTATTGCTTATCTATGTAAATTCTTTTCTTGGAAAACAATTCTTTACGACAATGAAAATGAATGAAAATACCTTCAATCAGTTACAGAAATGTAAATGTACTTTTGTCGAAAGTAAATTATCCCTCTATGGTAAGGTAGAGACTGTTAAATTCGTTATTGATCCAACATTTAGAATTTTTCTCATCGCCGAAATCCTCTTAGATCCTATTTTACACAGTATTAAAATTTCGTTCTAGAATTTTGTTCTATCTAAACACAATTCCTTTGAGACGCTATGATGAATGTACCTTTTTAAGATTTCCATTTTCAAATGCAGGGAACTATTGTCTCTGTGTACGTCCGTAACCTTTTTTTAAGCAAATTCCGATCAGAAGTAATAAAGGACATAAAGATGATCAAAATGAACTAAAAAACGAAGACTACTAGGCCTGGAAACTCGTGGGATAACGCAAGTTCACCAATGTAAACAGCACACGTGGTATGAAGATTTTCCGCGCGTGTTAAACCTTTGATGGTCTTTTTGTGACGTCTACAATTTTCACTTTATCCTGCTTTCCTTTGTCCGTGTAAAGTTGTGAATAAAAGGAGCCATACTTTTTAACGGTTTTAAAATTTATATCCAAACGATAAAAATATAAAAATGATACCATAAACATAATATTCTTAAATTTACCACGAATTATAACTTTATTCAACAAAGATACATTTATATTTACTACAAGCATACTTCAAAAACACGCAATTTCTTTTGTCCTCTCACTTTCGCAACGGCAGAAACGGTTTTGCAACTACTTAGTTTTTGCCTTTACCTTCATACAAAGACATTTCCATTGGTTGAAACTAAATTGCTAGGAAACTAATGAAAATACTGGCAATCTGAATTAATAATGCAGATTTTGTTGTAGTTTCATTTCATAGCCGGCTAGCTCAGGCAGTGTAAGCTGTTGTCACTGTCATTTCGCATTTCTATATCATATAGGAATTGATTTGGCCTCACATGATCTTTTCCTGCGGGAAAACCTTCAAAAGTTCAAGAATAAGAAATCTTTGTCTGGTGGATGAGAATCAAAAAAATTCCCACAATACAACAGCTTTAATTACCTTACACAATAGATTAACACGCCACGTATGGTTTGGCGTAAGCTTGGCGCAAAACGTAAAGAATGGTAAAAAAAATCTCGAATTTCAGAAGGAAATCCTCTGTAAAATACCGAAATGACTTTTGAACGCTCTTTTCAGTATCATTAATTTCATTTATGATTCAACCATGCGATCTTTTTTTTTTAATCCGACGGTCGTCGAATCCTGTTTTTTATTTGTTGAAAACGCCACGTTTGTACTCATGACTCGAGAACGAGTCCACCGTGAGTTTGTGCCACGTGTCCGCCTGCCGTCCGCAAACTGACTCGACAACGTGTTAACTGTGGCGTGAAATTGAGAAAATAAGGAACTGTTGAATAAATAACCATATCCCCTTCTTATTGCTTGAACTTTCATTGTCTCTTAGCCGGTCCAGCGCGGGTGGCCAGCATCGCTAATGGGATCTATTTGCATGACAAGAGGTAAATAAGAAAATTTTGATTTGAGTTTGTTCTCGACATTCGATCGACTTGTGGGAAATTACCAAAGCAAATCACGAGGAAGGAAGTACATGAGCGTTCTCTGTGGACCTCGCTAAAGCTAGGTAAAATCTTCAATTTACTCTTTTTCTTCTCATCGTTGAGACCTATTTGAATTAGTCGCTTATTTTATAGCAAAAGAATCGGAATTAATTACTCTATAGCAATTCCAATATGAACTTGGCCTTAATAAGGTATGGTTTAGTGGCGTTTCACTTATGAGATTAAAATCGGCTTTTTTCCATCCACCGTTTTCTTGCCAATTGTCACTAAAGTAAAGAAATCGTTATGTAGTTATTTCTAAGCGTTTCTTTGTAACATTTGGAAGCTCCGTTCATTCGATGGACGGAATTCAAGGTGGTCGAAATTGGAGATATTTGCGGAAGAGTTTAACTCTGAATTTTCTCTATAACTTCCGTCCGGTCTCATTGGAGATTGATTTTCATTTCTGGCTTAAAAAAATTAGCTTTTTAAATGTTGAGATCAGCAGAAAAATAAATGTATTTAACTATTATTTACATCTTAAGGTCCACGCGTGATAGCTTTAAATAGTCTCGCTCTCTTTTTCTCTGGGGTATGGTAGTTCACAAAACAATTGGTATTCGAGGGACAGGATCAGGGGAAATTCTGTTCAAAAATCACTTTTCAAAATGAATAGTTCTCCGTTCAAAGCGGCGATTAAAGCGGCGCTCGCAACTTTATGTAGAAACTTTGAGTGCTGTCGAGAAAATTAATTACTGCATTATGTGCTTGCTGTTTGTCGTGGACCGGAGATGACACGAACCCTGTGTCTTCTGGCGGAACGTTTTACCTTCTAAGAGATGTAAATTTGCGAATATGTTTCTTGCTTTGTAAACTGGGCTTTTATTATAGACAGCTGTTTAAACAGGATCAGGTAGGAACCCTGCAGTTCTACAGGATTAAACAGGGGAGACATTCGTAATTACATCACCCATTTAGCTTTGGTGAGTAAAATAAAGGAAAATTCTCCAAATGTTAATTATAGAAATCCTGATATAAGCAGAACGTTTACTAGTTGCTAACGCTGTTTGGATGATATCGAGGGAGATTTCATGGGAGCTGTATGATTTTTCAGCAGACAAAAAAAAAATTAGCAAATGCCCATTTTAGTAAGCAACGTCAAATACCTCATAGTTTTGCAACGTAATTCTTTCTAATATCGCAACTGCTTTTCTTAATTTGAAAAAGAACCGCGTTCTCATTTAATTTAAAATATAACTTTGTTCAGAATTTTAAGGTTTTTCTACCTATATGTATAAATAAAGCAAAGATGCATTGTTTATGTTTCTTCTAATTGTACACGAGACATCAACATTTTTAAAACGTAGTTTTTTTGTATATATTTACTTCATTTATAGTTTTTCTCGTTTGCACTGTTTGGGTCATGGCTACAGATTTATTTTGAAAACAACTTCAGCTTATGGCGAAAGTAACTCTTTTTTTTTTTTTTTAATCTTTAATTAATACCACGATATCTTCTGGTTCGTGGCAACACGTCGAAGCACGTAGCTAAATAAAACACAAACGTGTGCACAGGAGATTCTTTCTACATGACGACGGTTACTGAATTCGTGTTTAACAAGTACCTAATGAAAAGCTGTCTACAGAACTTTCTTTTTTTCTTAAAATTTATTGATAAAAGCGAAGTATTAGAAAAAAAGTGAGCAAGCTTGCTAGCAATAATCAGTTAAGTTTTAACAGCAAAAAAGTCGTTCGTATTTTGACTAAAGTTAACTGCACTAATTAGCCCTCTTCTGTGGACTAGATGACGTTTTTTCCAGGCAGATCTTACTGCACCATAGAAACGTCCTCTAATGACCGATACGCCGGACATTCGTTTGCATTTGTCTTTGACTGAAGTGAGGAAATAAGAAACCTTATTCACGTGTAAAAAGGTATTCAACGTGTTTTTGGTTAACATGTACTCGACTTCTATCCTTATTTGCATACACCTTGTAAACGCCACTCCTATACACAGTCAGATTTAGAGTAAAGGTTTACAGTAAAGTGTGAAGAACTTGGTTGACTGAAGAATTTTCGGTTTATTACCTAGAGTATTCAGATTCTGTTTTGAACGGAGGTAAGGCAGACTAACTTCTTACGGGCAAAATATATTTCGAAAAAATTGAGATTCGCTTTGCACAACCGTAGTTGAAGCAATGTACCAACGCTCGAGGTTATTTTCACATAAAGATTGCATAGCAACTTGTCCACTTTTTAAGCCAAAACGAAAGAGTTCGCCGCTAAAAGGGAACACTTATGCTGAAATTTTTGATGTGGAATGAATATGGGAGGAGATGCAGGAGAAACTGCCCTATGAAGGGAAGATTTATTACCTTTCCTCTACTGATTCAAGATGAGTATATCATTCGCACTCTAATTGCCTAAAAAAAAACTCGCTTCATATTCCATATGCATATTTCCAGGGGACAACTCAAGGTCGATAATGTTGTTTATAATGCGAGTAAAGAAGTTCTGCCCGCTACGTGTTCAAAATGTTACACCATATTCTTAAATGAGAATTACCAAAACAGTTGTGATGAAGGAAGTCCCAGTTTCACAACAACTTCTATTTGAGATGTATCCGTCATAGACGAAAAAACTCATTAAGGGTAAAAGTAATTGTACTCGCATCACGCTTAAAATCAGCATGATTAAGTATCTTTCAATTCTTGAACATTAATATAGCATTTTTATGGACCACCATGAGAAGCTATGATTTTAACCGCGACATTATTACGCTTTGCTCTGCATTGCGACCCGACGATAGATGGTCAGTTTTCATACTATTTTAATGGTATTGAAACGACGTTGCTTTCAGTAATAATATCAGTATCCATTACAAAATAACTGTTTTCTGTAAAAGATAATCTGAAGTCAATTTTACGTTGTTTGAATTCATAGTTTACTTTTCAAGTTGTCCTTAAATTTCTATTTGCGTCATTCATCTTTATCGTGTTCTTTCATGTGTCACTTTTTACGTCGCTAGAAGATGTACGTGAAATTTAAACAAAATTATGTATGCACTTCAATTTGTAGTTTCTAACTGCTACGTGACGAAGACGAGGCGATGGAGGCGTTTAACCAAGCTTACGACGAATTTACGGGTGTTCATTCTCTCAAGGTGAGTTGTATAGGATAATTTTACAAGTGCACAAAGCTGAAAGTTTATGCAAATTATATTGGGATATTTATTTGATGGTACTGATACGAAAAAAAAGGACTACTTAATTAATTCATAGACATCCTTCCAAGTCTGTTCTTAATTTTCAGCTGTGGTGCTCATTTTTAAATTTTTGATTCTCGATTTAAATACTTTGTTTTGGTGACAAACTCGCAGCCGTAATTTATAACACGCTGCTTTGTCTACGTCGAGAGGTATATCTTTAAAAGATTCAGTTTGGTTTGGTTTTGTTTAGAATTTTTTTTGTCTTGATGCTGCAATCGGAAATGGGTTTGCATGAAATTCCCTTCGGAAGAAAGAATCACCTCTGCGTTTTTTATCCGTAAAAAGGTTGTAACAAAATATTTCTGGCCGCGTTTGGTTTTTTTTTTTTTTGCTTCGATACTTGGATTGCGAAATTCTACTTTTCGTTTTTCTATTTGTTATATGATAATGAATCTTAACACGCAAAGTTCGATCATCTGCAAGTGCATTCAAGTATCTTCATTACGGCCGCATTGAGTTCGGCAGGAAAAGGCCGTTGTAGATGGTTGGCAGTTATATATAGGGAAGAGATTGAGAAATACAATCCAAAATCATATGTAAGTAAGGAAGAAACCAAAAATCTATTATTAGCAAAAAATTGCTAACAAAACAAAACGAGTTAAGGTACTGTGAATAAGGTGTGTGAAACGTTTGCCCTTTCCAGGAGGATGATTTCTCTTCTCTTTGGTGAAATAAAGCTACAAAGGGTTGTCCTCTTGAAAACGTAAAGGCTTAATTGCTAATGTGGAGAGGTTAAAATGAGGACTACACGCTAAAACAATGCAAAAGTGGCTGTTGTTGGACAAAAGAAGGAGGTTCGACCGTTCTTTTTCATACTCAGTATAGCACCGTTCTCCTTACTGTAAATACATGGATAGAGTCCGGGATGAAATTTTTACACCGATCACACCTAATTCAACATTTCCTATCAATCCATATTGTTCTTGCTCTGATATTTGCAATATTTTTTAGCAAAAATCCGCTTTCATTTACTCTGAGATCTTTAAGAAGAAATACGGGGCAAATTTTAAATACATTTATCCCAGGTTTTGAAAGCGATGAGGTCAGATAAAACCAAATTCCAAAGAAAAAGAGCTTTTCAGAGAGCTGTGAAGGAGATTCTGTGGTTCGAGTATGAGTATACGTACGAAAAAACATAAAAAAATCTATTGCTATGTGATCAGGGTTTGTCTCATGATTATTTGGTCTCATAATCAAACGTTGTTTCATGATATCATTCGAAATCAATTTAGTTCAACGATGTGCTCAGATCCTTTTACGATGTACTGTGAATAAGGATATTAGCTAGAAGGTGTGGCATTCAGTGTATGTTAACGCGTCATGATAAGTGGGTTTTTAGAGAGAACGAGTTTTATTAAGGGCCAGTCTGGATTGTTTTTGCTTTACGAGGATTTCTTTCCATCGATTTCAGTTCTTTCCTATTCATTGTCGTTGTTCTTTGATCCATGAAATTGCTTTTTTCATAACAAAAGGCTTCGTCACATTTGATATTCCTTTTTTCCGTTCCTTTAGAATGCAAATTCATCGAAAGGCTGTCATGCTTTCAGCCTGAAAAGTTCTCCAAAGGACCGTTCGCAAGACAGAAAACTTCTTTTCAAGATCTCTTCTCTGCTAGAAAAGGTGTGAACGTTTTCTATGCAAATTTTTTTTTTGCTTTTGTCGCAAGAAACATAGTCAGAAACAGTATAGCATAAACGTTAGCTTTGTCAGCTGTGAGGTTGCTAACCACGTTCGAACTGACGAGGGTGTAAGATGCAGAATCCTTTCTGGTCTAAGGTCCTTCGCGACCTCAAGCAGTGCATTGCCTTTCGAACCAGAATAGAAAGAAGCCTATTTTAAGTGTACACCCAAATATATTAAATTTATCATCATGTGGCTATACTAGCTAACGCTTTTACTTTCTTCTCAGAAAGAGATAGAAGTCGCATCTTACCCAGAAGATATCTTTGAAGAACAAGAGCACTCAGACAGCAGCGACATTGACGTCAGTGGAGAACAAGGTTATTCACTCAATGATGACGAATGCGATCAGGTGTGGACGACAAAATGTGATTAAAATTACTCAGCTGCTGCTGTCTTCATTCCTATTTACTTTGGAGTGACGTGAATCATAAAATGAAAAATTGATTGTTGTTACCGAATATTGATTTTTTTTTCCTAGGTTGAGAAGGACGTCATTTTCACTGAGAAAGGCTGCGATGATAAAGTAAAACTCACAGATGAGGAAAAAGAAACTTTCGTTTCTGAAGGACTTCCAGTACCAAGCAGGATACCATTGACAAAGGTATATTTATAGTATTAATATGGCTACTGAACTCTCGTCTGGAGACCGGATAATAGTCCTAAGGTAGCAGTGGGAAGTGAACCTTGAAATCCTGCATTTTGCATGACAGAAATGATACATATAACCGGCGTCCTCTTGCTAGTCGATGACGCGGTCTTAGTAACCGTTAGAAATTATCTTTTGTTGGTTAGTACCTAGAACGAAACGACTACTAAAGGCAACAATATTTTATTTCTAGGCAGAAGAGAGGGCCCTCAAAAGGATTCGGCGTAAGATTAAAAACAAGGTAAGGATTTATTCTTGCTTCCCAATTCGTATCAGTTTTTTGTCAGTTTGTCCTGAATATTCTACTCCGGTCGGTACGTGTCGAACACGTATGCGAGTTCTAGCACATCCACAGCTTAAACACGATAATAAGTTGAGTAGCGGTTGTAAAATAAAATAAACTAAAATTAGAGATGGTATGTTTTTTTTTCCAAGCTCTCTGCACAAGAAAGCAGGCGAAAGAAAAAAGAGTACGTCGAAGGTTTGGAGAAAAGGTAAGTTGCATAGTAACAAATAAAAACTACCAATAAAGTTACTGTGATCCTTAGCCACTTAGCCCTTAAAAAAGCAGTCAGTGGTGACACTTTTGGGGGAAAATAGTATGTTTAAGTATGGCCATGCGATGTGACCATTGTTGATTAATTTAATGCAAACTGGGATTATTACTGAAACAAATATAAGTAGGCAGTCTTGCATGCTAAGGATTCGCTTTATTTACTTTGTAAGTAACTTTTTCTTGGCCTGCTTTTGTCTGTTTTCACCCTTGCGCCGGCTAAAAGTTTATTTAAGACGTTCAAGTGTCACAGAATTGCTCTAAGGATATTATCGTAAAGCGATGCTCTCCGAACTTTCATTTTGATTTAGTTTGGTACGTGCCATTCTTTTTCAGGGTGGAGACGTGCAACTCAGAAAACAGCATACTTCGACAAAAAGTAGACTCCCTTGAATCGACCGTAAGGTAACATAGAAGAAGCCTTCAATAATTATACAAATTATCTCAGTCAGAGTAGATCATAATTAAGTCTGAAACAATGTTTTTCTTCTACAAAGAAAACACAAAGTGGTTATCAGAAATTTAAATCATTAATTAAGGAGGGAGAACAAAGACAAGGATTAGTTAATAAAGAACTCACAAACCGTATGCTTATCACTTTGCTTTGGCTCGCACAAGTTCATTAAGGATATTGTAATTATGAAAGGCAAGAAGATTGAATGAAAGAAAGATAATTATCCTCTTCGTCTTTTTATTTGCCTGATATCTATTAATATACCTGTTGAAAAGACTAAATTTTAACAACCAAGCTAAGCTCCTCTGTAAAAACAAGACAAAAAGAAAATTTTACATTCGTGAATTAAGGTCCTCGATGAAGATAGAATGCACAATAAGAGTTGCCACCTAAAGTATAGGTGCAAATTGAAGTTTTCGTACAATTGAATTCAGACCACTGTTTAGTTCACGGTTATTTCTGGTCACCCAAAAAATATGTCTGATTAGGTTCAAATTGTTCGTTTGTCTTCATTTCTTCCATTGTTATTCAAAACTTTGCATTATTTTTTACATCATTAGGACTAAAATCAATTTGGTGCACTTGCTTGTTTTTAGATAACTAGAGCATTTGTAACCGAGAGTGTAGAAATAAATAGTTGTGTGAGTGTGCTTCCTAATAAATCTTAATTTACCTTATGGTGAGTTTTATCTTCACCAAAGCACCATCTCTCTCGTATCTTGGTTACACCAAATGTAAAACCCTTAAAGTTGAAAAAAGTTTTGCTGACAGGCTTTTGGGGGAAAAAATGAAAGTAAATTTTATTTCTTAAATTTTTAGGGCGTTGCTGACAGAGCTAAATAGATTACGTAAAGTTTCTCTGGAGAAACAGGGAAGAGAAAGACCTGAAATGAGAAGCAAAGGAACTCAGACGGGCACATGCCTAAAATGGTAAGAACTGACAAAGCTTAACTTGAGTAAATAAGTGATACTCCCATATTCCACTCTACATTCTAAAGCAAAATATATCAAACGATTATTTAATGATTATCATTATTAAAACCCATATGTGTCTCCATTGTTTTGATGTATCAGTCTAGACGATTGGTTCAAAGGCCAGTTTTCGTGTTTAGAATAGTTAAGACTGGTATTTTTAACAATTCTCATACGCGGAAACTCCCACAGTTCCTCTCCTATACAGGTTATATTTCTAGTGCAGGTCCCCCTTACCTACTTTTCCAAACGAAAGAGTTCGCACTCTATCGTAATAAAATGTAGCTCCACTGGATAAATTTTCTAAATGTATAGTTTGACAAACTTTTGTTTCGTTTTGCTTTCACCTTTTACCGACTCAGTCTCAAGAAAAGAAACGCCGTTTACAAACAGAAAAACCTAGCAAGACTGGAACATCTCCGACAAAATAACAACCTCTGCACATCTCAGCCTTACAGCTTGCACAAGCTTGAAACACATAGATGAGCCGAGGAGATTATAATTGGCTTCCAAACAGTTCCTGTCCTACAGATCAAGGCCGTATAATGTACGATGTATTTATATAATGGTGTGGGAAACCTACATAGAGAAAAAGAGAGACGAGGATGGAATACATTCACCGGCTGTTGAGAAAGAAGTCATCTAAAAGAATAATTGATGTATTGGTTTTTCTAAATAACTTAACTGCACGTTGAATATGGGTTCACTATGTGAAAAAGACAATGACTTTGCAATAAGTTTATCTAGTCTCGCTCAAGGAATTTAGCCCCTATATCAATGGGGTAAATGTTTTGAATCATCTCATACTGACAGATCAGCTATCCATACGAAATTTATGTACAAAAATCTTGAAAATCGTGTAGGTTTCTAAGATGTGGTGTATTATATATATCTTGTGAAATGACTGTAAATAATTTTTGCTTGGAATTCTTTCTGGTGGAGTAATATAGTACGCGTTTAGAATACAGTTATAGTTATTATTAGGAGGTTAAAAGGGCAAAAGAGTCCAATATATAAAATAATCTAGACGTTCAAACAAGAAGCAGGAGATTTTTAAGAATTTCCCTCTAAGCCCCTTTGGAAAGTGGAACCCTCAATCCGGGGTGCGACACTGATATGGGCCAAGAACTACAGATCAAATAGAATACATTGAGGTGGGCCCTCAGTGACATCTTTCCGTGACCGCCGGGCATTTTAAAGGAGTCGATCTTCTCTTAACACCTCCATTCAGTCTAGCTGACGCCGTGAGGACTTTGATCACGGAAAACAACGCCTGTTCCTCGTTCTTACTTGAGGATTTTACCAGAAATTGGCCCCTAAACATTTGGAGAAGACAGATGAATGTTCGTTTTTTGCAAGTTTTAAAGGAAAATTTCGATAGATAGTAATAAGAAGACATCCGAGACTTGGATTGACGAGTGGTCGAAAGGTTCTCAAACTACGGAACTGGAACATTCCTTCCCAAAAACATTTACACTTCGTTTTTCTATAATTTATTTGTTTATTCAAAGTGACCCCCCAAAATCCCATCCGGATTTGTTGTTACGTTCAGGGCATGTGTTTTGAGGTAGAAAGGCCAATGTCTCAGTAATAATTGGCATTTCAAATGGTTATCACCTCTTGCTTGACCAACCAGCATCAGCTCCAAATATTGTACACGAACTTAACACATGACATGTAAATAAAAACATACATTTATTACCTTATTTATTATCTATTATCAGTCTTATCCTTGATTCTGTGAAAAGCTTTGCTGGTCCCGATCTCAAAGTTCCTTACCCTAGCATCCCTGATTGACGGAAACACTGCAAATGGTCAGCAGTAGTCCCCCACTCCGTGTTTTGCTTGATTATGACGGTAAACACCGCAAATGGTCAGCAGTAGTCCCTCACCCCGTGTTTTGTTTTCCCAAGGTTGAAGCTTTCGGGACTGCGACGAATACAATTTCATTCGATCGTGTAATGGAACAAATGGAGGTGCAGAATATCCAAAGTTTTTTAATTAATGACGATGGTAAAGTATTTGTGATCATTCTGCGAGTTTTTACTCATAATTGTGGAAAATCAAACCTCGATAGATTGGGAACAGAAGTGCTTTGTCTCATATTATCGATTAGCACTGGCGATTCTTAATTTGCAACATTGACGATTTGACTCCAAGAATGCTATCTTGAATGCATTTAAGTCAAAAATCGACTTTAAAAGCCTAAAATACTACATATTAGTCCTTTCTATGATGATGGTTTCCTAAAGGTCTTGTAATATATATATTTGTCCAACAACGAGTCAAAACTCATTTGAAGAGGTTATGTATAATCCCTCAATTCCGCATGCCATCGACGCTATCCTTTCGCTGATTGTTAGCCCAGTGTTCAATTTAATAAAAATTAAAGGAGTGCATGATTTATTTTGCATTAGATTGTACTTTTAAGCCGAAATTTGGGTTGAAAATTGATTGTATTTATATTGTTCATCTTTCTTTAGATATATCAGGACATGCAATTAACCAGGCAGCTGTGTTTGTAGAAGATGCAGCACAGGTAATGAGGCCATCTCCAATTTTTTTGTTAGTTCATTGTCATTGTGTTTCCTAATTTTGGTTTGGCCAGTTGTAGTGAAATAAGAAGAATTTTCGTAGTCCAGAAGGGAGAGGCCTGGAGCAACAACAAATTACTAGGAAGTAGTGGATGGGGATAGTGATTAACTTCTCCATATCCCTCACCTCTTCATGTATTTTATACTGTTAAGGTCAAGGAAGGCATAACTCATGTAGTGGTCAAATGATAAAACAAAATTTGCCCCTTTCTCCCCCTCCCTCAAGAAACAATTAGAGAGAAAACCACCTTGTAGGATCCTCTATCAAATATCATGCCTTTGTACTGGGTTGTTTTCCAGAGATGTGGAAAACATCTTTCTTTCAACCAAGAAGGTGATATTTAGGGTTTTGCTAGGGGTGAGCATTAGCTGTGAACTGGTTTTAAATTTATTCCTTTATTTGTAAAAAAGGAGAAATTTGTGCTATAAATCATAAAAAAGCAGCTCTGTCTTAACTGTTCAATGGTGTCCTTCAGATTTCTCCATTAAACCTCTTGTCATTAACATTCTGGGATCTTAACTGTGTAGTTATTGAAGGGGCAGATGAGAATAATTTGGCTTGTGACAATATAATGTACTGTATATACCAAGCACAGAGATGTACATCCTTGAAGACTGAGGGCAAAATATTTTTCCATCCAGCTCAACAGTACTCAGCCAATAAGCTTTCTGTTATATGGCAGCCTCTGTTTCTCTTTCTTTTTTTTTGCATTGTGGATCTGTGGGTCATATGTGAGGCAATAGGGCTTTTGTTTAATACAGCAGTTATACAGGGAGTTTTTTCATAACAGTTTTAACCCTTCAACTCCCAAAGGTGATTAGGACAGAATTTCTCCATAGAATATCAATCCAATATTAACCAGATAAGTGATGAGAATAAAGAAAAATATCAATTTGGGAATAATTAGTCAATCCAATGCTAAATTCTCTGAAGTAACATTATAAGAATTATGATTTTATGGTTGACAATAAGGAGAATTAAAAATTTGATCAGGGAGTTAAAGGGTTAAATAACACACACGTCACTGTATGAGTGGCATGATAAATAACCCTTATTATGTATTTCTATGTACATGCAAATCCAAATCCTTTCCATGTCTTTTTATAGTATAGATCAATTAACCACAAAGTTGACAGCAAGTCACTGTGGATGTACAGGTGGTACTACAGCAAACCTGTCAGATGGTAAGCAGAATTATATTTTCTAGAGAAATTAGATAATGTAGATGAAAGTTACTCATTTTAAACTACAGTCAAACCTTGATTATCCAGACTAGTTAGGACTAGATGAAATACTGTCTGGATAATCGAGGGTCTGGATAATCAAGAACATGAACATTAATGAGGAACAAAAACTGATGAAATTAAGGAAGTAACATTTAATTGTGAGACAAAACATTTACAAATCAAGGACATGATGATCGTGAATAAACATTTGTGATGCTGTGTAGCTTGTTTATCTTGCATACCACACTGAACGAGCCAATAGAGTGTGAAATCTCACTTAGCAACAAAGCAAGTCTAAGCCAATCAGACCTCATTCAAATGTTCTTCATTAGTTACGACACATGCTTTTACTTTTTGAAAGTGAAACAAACATGCCTTTATTTCACTTTTTAATGCTCTAGTTTCGAAGAATATGGTTACAAATCTTGATCATGACTTCTAAATATTCATGACAAAACTGGGATCAGAAAAAAAGTCTGAATAATTGAGAAATCCGGATAATCAAGGTGTGGACAATCAAGGTTTGACTGTACTGCTAACATCTATATACAGTGAATGGAGTACTGTTTTATGATGTGGGATTAGAACATTCATTTTTAACTCGTGCAAATGAGTTTTTCAGGGATTCTAATATAGAAACAAGTTACTCACTAAGATGTAGACACTGAGGTGATTTGTTGTCCCAAAGTCGCTGGAGCATGAAAGCATATTGGAGTAGTTCCAAGTGAACAAAAACTTGTTGAGTTTGGGCACAAACCTAATACTGAGAATAGCTTTGATTGTTTATGATCTGATATAAAACAAGAACTGTGATTGAATTCAATTATCTCAGGTAAACATTGGCATTTGGATTGATCAGCAGAGGAGAAAAATAATCCTGTGCTTTTCTGACGAAAGAAAATGTGAGGAATTCATTGCCAAAATCTTCAACTTCAATCAGTCAAAAAGAACTTCTGGTTCTCTCTCTGATTTTTCGGAAGCATGGCTTTGGAGATAAGAGCAACCTTGCATGGCTGCAACACCAATAATTACAATTTCACAATCATGTTTCATCCCAAAATTAAGTACTTTATGCACGAGCTGGCCATAGATATTCTTTGATTTTAAATTTTTAATAGCTGAGCAGCAAATACAATATCCTTGAAAGTTTAATAGTTGAGATCTACATTAATTTGTTCCCATCCACTATGATTACTTCCAGTCATCTGGAAGTAAGCAGAGGTTTACATGTGGCTGAAAATGGCCTATTTTTTGCTGAACTAATGAGTGACTGTGGAGAGACAAATTCTTAAACTTATAATTAATTTGACCAATTTCAATCCTTTTAAGGGCAAAAACATTTGAGCAATACATTACCAATTTTTGTGTTATTACTTGACTTAACAGTGATTTTTCAGTTTGCCATTTTTTCTTTTTAGTTTTTAAAAAATCCAAGATACTGTTAGAAATAATTTTTTTTGAATTAGTTTATTAATCGATGGAATTTTAAATTTATCCCTAGCCTAAGAGTTATCTTGTACAGACTGATATTCTAATTAGATATATGGAAGTGGACTGATATTTCCATTAAAAAAATATGATCTAATTTGTGTTACAGGGGATACACATTTATCATCTTCCTCTACTTGATGCTGGCATTTGTAGAAAAGCCTTCTTCTTTGACGTAAGTATTTGTGTCTTTGTACTTGTATGTGTATCTGATAATGCCTAACAT